GTTTTACTGTCCCCTTCAGGGTGTCTATTTTTTTTTGCCACTCTTTTCCTTTTTCATCTTCTTCTTCCTCTTTTACTCTAATGATTTCTATTAATTTTTTATAACTTCTTTGTATAATTTCGATACTTTTCTTTACAGGTACATGAACGTTCCTGTTTTCTTGAATGAAGTTACCTAACACCTCCAATTCTTTGCTTAGCCTCTCTTCGGCTTCAGCATGTCGTCTCTTTAGTAGATTTGCATCTCTACCTATTTTATGTTCCTTATTTTCCGGAGATTCGGTCGCCTTCCTCTTCGCTCCCTTCTCTGTATCACTTCCGTTCGTATTTGCTCTTGGTCTACCAAGGCCCCATGGCTCCCAGTTGGTTCTCAAGCTGGACACTTTTTGCCCTTCTTTCTCGGGAGGTGTTCTCGAGAGTGATTCCCTCCTTTTGAAAGGGTCTTCGTCCTTGCTTGTCTCCTTTTTGTCGTTTGTACTAGAGCTGAAACTCTCGTCCTCTTTCCCCTCATCCTTATTTTTTGTTTGTTTTAGTTTGTCCATTTTGTTCCCACGTCTTGGGTACCGATCGGAGTCGCCCCTCGGCAGTGGTCCCATACCGAGGGGAAGGCATTTATACTGCAGGGTGCGCCTGGTGCCCTGCAGGTTTTTACGACTTCGCTGTCGGTTCTTTTATAGAGGTTGCCTCCTCGCGGGCCGGCCGATTAAGGCAAGCCCCCCGGCCAAAGGTCCCCACAGACGTACCGCCGCCGCGCTCAACGGCGGTTGTTGACTGTGGGCCTTGGTTACGGTGTGTGTCCGGGTGGCTACGCTCCACCACCCGCCTTCGGGTCGTGAGCCTAAGTCGAGTCCGTGTCCATGCCTTTTTCGAGCGTTAGTCCTCCCTCGATGGGCTGCACCTTGTCGTGGTGAGGGAGCTTTTCACCAAGAGCAGCCCACCTGACTAACTACAACCATCTCTTCAACCTGTCTCTTGCCTAGGTCGTCATAAGTGTTTTTTATTCATGGAGGTTGTCTCCTCCGTTGCTCTATTTGGTCCGCGGTGGCTATTTTATTTCACCACTACCCGCCGGCAAGCCGGTGAGGGCATTCCCCTATCCGCCACGTGGGGGACGCGCCCGGTAGGAGTTTGGCTTCTCCCCCGAGGACCTGACCTGACCTGACCTGACCTGACCTGACCTGACCTGACCTGACCTGACCTGACCTGACCTGACCTGACCTGACCTGACCTGACCTGACCTGACCTGACCTGACCTGACCTGACCTGACCTGACCTGACCTGACCTGACCTGACCTGACCTGACCTGACCTGACCTGACCTGACCTGACCTGACCTGACCTGACCTGACCTGACCTGACCTGACCTGACCTGACCTGACCTGACCTGACCTGACCTGACCTGACCTGACCTGACCTGACCTGACCTGACCTGACCTGACCTGACCTGACCTGACCTGACCTGACCTGACCTGACCTGACCTGACCTGACCTGACCTGACCTGACCTGACCTGACCTGACCTGACCTGACCTGACCTGACCTGACCTGACCTGACCTGACCTGACCTGACCTGACCTGACCTGACCTGACCTGACCTGACCTGACCTGACCTGACCTGACCTGACCTGACCTGACCTGACCTGACCTGACCTGACCTGACCTGACCTGACCTGACCTGACCTGACCTGACCTGACCTGACCTGACCTGACCTGACCTGACCTGACCTGACCTGACCTGACCTGACCTGACCTGACCTGACCTGACCTGACCTGACCTGACCTGACCTGACCTGACCTTTTTTTTTTTTTTATTTAACGAGTTAATCCCCATGGGGTGCACTACCTAGGCGTTAGGCGCCAGGTATCGTTTACCGCCTATGCTATGCGGCTCGGCCGTTGTTCTGCCTAGGGGGATCCACTCTTCTGTCACTCCGCCTCCACCCCATCGGTACCACCTTCCGGTATTCCTTCGATGGGCCGGATGCTGCGTCCTCTATCTCACATACCAATCCCCGTTCCCAAATCCAATTTTGTTCGTCTTTCTTCCTGCTGCTTTTCTCTTCTTCTTTCTTCTTCTTCTCGGTCTTTTATTATCTCCTCCACATATCCTGTTACTTTGTTCCAATTTGTATTGTTTTCCATCATCCTCTTTATTATTGTACCCGGTGTCATAGGCGCTCCTAGCTCTTTCTCTACATGTCTGCGCTTTTCTTCGTTTTTTTCGCAAAAGAATACCGCGTGCTCCGCTGTGTCCCGCTCGTACCCGCAGTCCCAACATCTCGCGCTATCTGCCTTGCCTATCCTTTTTCTAAATTCGCCGAATGCTCCGTGTCCTGTTATAAACTGTGTTAGTCTAAATGTGATTTCTCCGTCTTTCCTACTAATCCATTCCCTAACGTCGGGAATTAATCTTTTGGTCCATTCCGCCTTCCCCGTTTCCTGTTCCCATTTTTTCTGCCATTTGTCTAACTGATACTTTCTTGCTTCTTTCTTGTCCGTTCCATATCTGTATCTATCCATCCTCTCTTCCACCCAGCATTCTATTGGCATCATGCCTGCTATTACGTGCAATGCCTCCGTCGATACAGTCCTGTAGGCCATACTTATTCTTATCAGCAACCTTCTTATAGTCCATTCCACTTTCTGTTTATAGGTCTTATTTCCGATTGCTCTCCCCCATACCTCTGCTCCGTATAGTATAATCGAGAGGCCTGTCATTCCCATTATCCTTCTCTTCCTGCTTCCCGGACCTCCTATATTGGGCATGAGTCTTCCCAACGCCCCTATGAGATTGCCCGTTTTCTCAACAGTCTTCCAGAGATGCTCCTTAAAACTCAGTTTTGCGTCGATTATAACGCCCAGATATTTTATCGACTCCTTTATTTTTATTTCCTCCCCTTTTATTCGGATCCGCACGGGTTCTTCCTGCGTTCTTCCTGTAATCACCATTGCTTCGGATTTGTCCGGAGCTATTTCCAAACCCATTTGTTCCAATTTTTCGTTGATTCTTGCCAACTGCCAGTTCACTTCCTTTTCTATATTCTTCATTTCCTTATCTGTCCCTATTACTACTATATCATCTGCGTAGGCTATGATCGTTGTTTTTGGTCCCATATCCATTCTTAGTATGCTATCGTAAACGATATTCCATATAAGTGGCCCCATTATCGATCCCTGAGGTACTCCACAACTTATTCCGATCTTCTGTCCGTAGCTCCCAGTTATTTGTCTGTTGGTGAAATAATCCGCGATTATTCTTTTTAAGTAACCCGGCATATCCCAATGTTTCAGTTCTTTTTTAACAGCGGACCATGCTATCGTGTTAAACGCGTTCTTGACGTCTATCGCCACCACTATGTGTTTCTTCCTTGTTTGCCTTACACCATGTTTGTTCATACCAATTAATTGCGCCACTCTATCTATGGCCTCTATGGTAGATTTTCCGGCTGTGAAACCGTACTGATTACCCGACAGGCCACCTTTCTGGGCTATATGCAGTTTAATTCTGTCCGTTAGTAGGCGCTCGTAAATTTTCCCCCCCACATCTAGTAGGCTGATAGGTCTAAAGCAGCTTGGCGAGCTTCCCTGCTTTCCCGGTTTTCTAATCAGGACCACCCTAGCCTTCTTCCAGTTATTCGGGAAGACCTTGTTCCTTGCCAAAGAGTTGTACATGCCTAGGACTTGTTGCGGGCATGTTTCGTACACGTCTTTCCAGATTTCAGCCGTCAGTCCGTCCGTACCGGGCGCCTTACCCTTTTTCATTCCGTTGACAGCACCTTCCAGTTCTTCCAGCTCAAAGAGTGGGGTTTCCATGTCCGTGATTTCCTCCCATCTAGTGTCCTCTCTTTTGGGGAAAAGTGCCGTCAATATCTCGTTCTCTACCTCTTCTTCCAGCCTCTCCGGCGGTGTTAGTTTTAATTGCTTTACGACAATTTCGTAACCTTTCCCCCACTGATCTTCTTCCAGCTGGTTCAGCACCTCCATCCATTTTTCTTTCTTCGATCTTAGTATTTCCACTTTTAACTCTTTCCTTCTCTCTTTGTACTCTTTGCCCGCCGTCCTAAGCTCTTCCCCAGAATCCGTATTTCTTTTCTGTTTTCCTTGTAGCCGCGTCATTTTCCTCTTACTCTTTAGACATTGCTTCCGTAGCTCGGCCACTTTCTCGTTCCACCAATACACCGGTCGTTTTATCGTCCTATTCTTGCTCCCCGATGTAATTCCTTCGCAGATCTTTCTTATTTTCTCTGTTACCTCCTCCACTTTATCCCATTTCCACGCGTCCGTGTTCTCTGCTCCCAATGCCTTTACGAATGCTTCTCTTTTTGTGCCTTTGAATCTCCATCTGGCTTCGCCGCTTTGTGCATTCAGCTTCGGTGAAACCTCGTCGGTTTCAACATCGAAGCTTATCATCTCGTGGTCACTTAATGTTTCCTGATCCACTACTCTCCATCTCTTTATCTTTTCTGTCATGTCCGGTGTTGTTAGGGTTAAGTCCACTATCGATGTCCCATTCCATCTTATACAGGTGGGTACCCCCACTTGGTTGCAGACTTCTAATCCCAAGCTTTCCATCCATTCCTGTAGCATGTAACCCCTTGCTTCGTTGACCTTATCTCCCCATCTCTTCGATCTGGCATTAAAATCTCCAACAATGACTGTTCTTTTGCCACCTTGCCGACTAACCTCCTTGCCTATTTCATACAAAATTTTCTCCACCTCACTATCCGGACTGTTCGGCGATAAGTACGTACCGTATATGTATATATTTCTTATTCTGACCCAGCTATAGCCATACCCTCCTCCTGTTTGTGTCGGTATTTGCCCTCTTCCTCTCACTATCATCACCACGTCCAGATTTTTATCCGTAATCCACTCCTTTTTCCCTTTCGTTTTATTTTTATTAGGTTCACATATTATTATAACCTCTGCTCCCGCTTCTTCTGCCGTCTTAAAAGTTAGGTCCATAGCTGGAACCCTGCGGTCGGCGTTCGTCTGTATGATTTTCATTCTGATTCATCGAAGACCGTACCCTTTTTCTTTAATCCCTGTACAATCTTCCTATATGTTGGGCACTTCATAGATTCCGCCCTGTGTCCTCCCTTTTTACATAAGTAACATGCCTGTTCTTGTGTGCACTCCTTTATTTTATGGCCCATTTCTCCACATTTGTGACACACTTCCCCTTCGCTCTCCTCGCACGCTCTTGCTGTATGTCCTATCTTTTTGCATTTGAAACATTTAGGCACGGATACTATCTCTCTGGCTCTCCACCTATTCCACCCTTCTCCAATTCGTCCTTTTTTAATGATAGTTTCGGCTTCCCTTTCCTTCAGTCTGACGAAAGCGTATTTAACTCCTCTAGAATTTTCTTTTTTTGCTATTTGTATTTTCGCCGACATTTCCCTTTTATCCCGTATATTTAATACTTTGGCTAACTCCGTAACTATTTCTCCTTCGTCCGTCGCAGCGTCTAGATCCAACAGTAATATCGTTTTCCTTTGTACCTCCACTACCGATGCACAATCTACCATTTTTTCTTTCAGAGTACTTACGAATGCTTCTCTTTCTTCTGCTTTTTCTCCCTTTATTCTCACCTGTATTTCCCCCTCTTTAGTTTTTGTTATTCCTTTTATCTGTACACCGGTTACTTTCACTTTCTCTTTCATGCTTCTCACTGTATTTGCATATGAGAGGGTTCCTTCGTTATTCATCGGCTTTATGAATATTGTTTCCTCTTTAGTCGTTCTCCCCTTTCTAGTAAACTGGTTTTCCTCACCTCCTTCACTTCTCCTACTATTTCGTCTATTTTTCGTTGTACCATACACTTCCACATCCATTTCTTCTACTGTTCCTCTAAAGACGTGTTCTAGAAGTTTCCGAGAAGTCTCTTCACTTTTTAGGTTATATGCCACACATACTACTTTCTTCCTTCCGTTCTTCCTCATTATTTCCTTAATTCTTTTCAGCGCCTTCCACCAGTTACCCACTCCTTTGGGTGTCCCTGCTTCTTTTACCGTCACCACGTACGTATATTTCATATGTCCAACCTCTTGTGTTGCATCATCCCCGTATATTATTTTATTATCCGTCACAAAATATATTGGCAATTCCACGTGTTCTTCGTTTTTCTTTAACGCTTCCTCTAGATGAGGTATTTCTTCTATCGCCCTTTTAATTCTGTAATTATCTGTTTCATCTCCTTCTCTTCTCACAATTATTAGATCTTTCTCTTTTTCCTTTGGCGCGTCTCCTATAGTCAACTTACATTTCTTATACATTGCTTCTGGCCAGCTCTTTTTTACCATTTCGTACAACGCATTCTCGTCCATTTCTTTTCCTATCGACTTCTCAAGTTTTTTTTGTTCCATCATTCTTCTTTGTATCTCCCTTTCCTGTTCTAGGTTTACTCTCTCGATGTGTTCTTTATCTTCCCGGTTCGTAATCGAAATCAACATTTCTACATATTTTAGTTTCCCTTTTTCCCGGTAGGTATTTGCCTCTTCGTTTATTCGTTCGACCGCTTTTCTAATTCCTTCGTGTATTACTTCACCTTCTTTTACTTGACTATGCACTTCCTGAATTCCTACAGTCATTCTCTCCAATATCTGTTTTGTAACTTCGTGCTGTTTTATTATTTCCCTTATTTCCCCATCTCCCTTTTCCGTTATTTTTTCCCTTGTCAACTGTTCGTCGTTCTCTTCTTGTCTTTCATTATCCGAATGTTTCTCCAGGTTTTCTACCTGTCTCTGTAATTTTTTTATATATCTTTCATCCTGTTTCCTCTGTTCTTGGTATTTCTTCATCTCTTTATGATCAATTTTTATCGCTTTGACGGCAATTTCTTTCAGTTCTTTAGTTAATGCTTTCACTTGTCTATGTACGTTTTGATTTCCTTTAACGAACTCATCCAATTCTAGAATTTTGTCTTGCATTCTGCTCAAATGTTGGTTTCCTATTGTACATTCTGCCTGCCTATCTTCTGTCATCTCGTTATTCATCTGTTCTGGACTTGTATTCATTTTTCTCTTTTTTCTTTTGAAAAAACTTTCAAAAATTTCCACTTTTTTATGCACCGGTGTTCTCGGTTTATTTTTCTCGCCCACACTCCAGCTGTTTGTTCGACCTCTACTGCTCGTTCCAGCTTCCATCCGTTCTTTATCTATTTGTTCTCCTTTTTTCTGTTGTGCTTCTCTTTCCTCTTCCACTTCCGATCCCTCTTCTTCGTCCGTGGAGATTATTATATTGTCTATTTCAGAGCATCTATTATACTTTTCCGTTACTTCCTTCGGTTCTTCCTTTGGACTTCTTTCTATCCGCGGTCTACCTTTAAATACATCTTCGTATTCCTCCTCGCCAGTATTTGGTCTCTGCCCTTCAGCCTGGTTCACCACCGAAGAGGCATTGCGGTCGCAGGATGACGGTCGGGAGGGGCCCGCACTACCACCCACATCACCGACCGGAACTGAGGGATCCGCCCTCTGCTCCGTAAATTCTATCTTCTCTTCTTGTCTGTCCATAATTTCATTTTATGTTCCATGTTCATCGCCAGGTTCGTCCTTATGGTCTTCCTCCCCCCCCCGGTTGACCAGGCCGAGAGGCCCCTCCCCATTTATCCGGGCTTGGGACCTGCTGTGACGCCATTAGGCTACTCGGTTCACCCTCTGACGCCACAGGCTGGGTTGACCTGACCTGACCTGACCTGACCTGACCTGACCTGACCTGACCTGACCTGACCTTTTTTTTTTTTTTTTTTTTTTCTGTGAAAGGGGAAACCCTCATGGGCACCAGAGACTTAGGTTCGATCGTCTCTGGTAGTGTCGGACTTTTACCGACTAAAACCCCTTTCTCGACCAGCTGTTCTCCTACCCCCCCGGAACCGCGTTAGCATTACTTCAAGGGGGTGGTTGGTCGCCGATTTCTTCGTTTTTTGTTTTTGTTTGGTACTTCTTTTCTTTTTTCTCGCTTTTTTTTCTAGTTATCTAAAATGTCTTTCTCATCTAAGTTCTCTCTTTCATATTTGGCCTTTTCTTCTATTATTTTCCGCATGAAGTTCTCTATTTCTGTCCATTTGTCCTTACTTTCGAGCATTGTTTCGACGAGGTTCTTATCTTCAATTCTTTTACCTATTTGGTCTTCCAGTTTTCTTCTCTCGTTTTGCCATTTTAAGCAAGCAAAAAGTGTGTGCTCTGCTGTGTCTTCTTCTCCACACCCGTACCAGCATTCGCTCGTTTCGCTCTTCGCGATTCTTTGTCTTTGTTTCGCAAAGTTTCCGTGCCCCGAGAGCATCTGCGTTACATAATAATTTATCTCTCCATGCTTTCTATTTGCCCACTTCTGAAGATCTGGGATTAATCTTCTGGTCCATCCTGCTGTTTCGCCTTCTGCCTTATCCCATCTATTTTGCCATTCTTTAAACACTTCCTTTTCAATTTCCCCTCTGTGTTCTTTTCCTCTTTCGTACACTTGACATCTTCTCCGTACTTTTAGATCTATTGGCATCATGCCGGCTATGACGAATAGTGCGTTCGTCGAGATTGTGCGATAACCACTGCTTATCATAATAGCTATCCTTCGGCTTGTTTTATCCAGAAGATTTCTGTAGCAGCCCCATCTGAGTACTTCGTGCCATGTCTCGCATCCATACAGCAGGGTGGAGAGTGCCGCCGTTGCTATGATTTTTCTAGTGGATGACCTTGGCCCCCCGATATTTACCATTATTCTTTTCAGGTTATTGACTATCTTGTCCGTTCTCTTGGCGGCGTCTCTGACGTGCGCTACCATTTTCGTATCCCTGTCGATCGTAACGCCTAAATATCGAATCTGTTCGCTTGTTCTCAGCGGGGGTGCACCTTCTTCTAAATTTAGCTCGATGACTTTTAGCTTACGCCTGCCCTGTAGAAGCACGGCCTCTGTTTTGTGCTCTGCTAGCTCTAAACTTAATTCTTTTATTTTGGATTTTACTATCCTGTAGGCCGTTTCTGTTTTTTGTTTTAGTTCTTTCTCCTTATCCGCGATTACTATTGCCAGGTCGTCGGCAAACGCGATCATCTGTACTCCTTTAGGCAGTCCTGTTTTCAGCAATCTATCATAGAAAATATTCCACAATGTCGGCCCCAAAACGGAGCCTTGCGGTACCCCGCATGACATTTGGAACATACCCCCGTACTCTGTCTCTATCCATCTGTCTTCCAAATAACTTTTTATTACTCGTATCAGGTATGGCTGCACGTTTCTCTTCTCCAGTTCTTGCAGAGTTATGCTCCAATCGGCCGTGTTGAATGCATTTTTTATATCTACCGCCACCATTACCGCCACCTTCCTGTGCTTATAGGAAGTTTTCTTTATTTCTTCCACTGTTTTCTGCACCGTTCTTACTGCATCTATCGTCGATCTTTTTTTACGAAATCCGTATTGGTGAACGTACAGCCCCCCCCTTTCCGAAATACTTTCCTCTAGTCTGCCTCTGATCATTCTTTCCAACAGCTTGCCGCATGTATCCAACAAGCAGATCGGTCGGTATGATCTTCCGTCCCCGTCTCCCTTGTTTTCTTTTTCTAATAACACTAGACCACCTACCTTCCATATTTTGGGAAATTCTCCATCCATTATACACTTGTTCATGACGTCTAAGATCTCTTCTGGATATTCTTCGACGATCGCTTTCACCATTTCAGGTGTTATGCCGTCCGGTCCCGGTGCTTTTCTGTTTTTTGTTTCTCGGGCCGCCTGCTTGAGTTCTTCCATTTTAAATGGGGGTACTTCCTTCCTGTCCACCGTCGGTAAACTCGGCGTTGTGATGCGTCTTCTGGGAAACAGTTTGGATATCTGGTTGTTCGTTGTCTCTTCGTCTGGAAAAGTCCTTGGGGCCAGTTTAAATTTGTTCGTAACGATTTTGAAGGCTTTTCCCCATGGGTCGTTTTCTAACTCGTGGCAAGTTTTTCGCCACGCTTTGGCTTTCGCCTTTTGGATCTCTTTCTTTAGGGTCTTTTTCAACCTTCTGTATTTTTCGTTTTCTTGGTCTTTCTCATTTTGGGAAGCGTCTTTTTTCTTATTTGTCTTCGTCAATTTTCTCCTTTGTTTGATACAATTCTTTCGGGCGTCTTCGACGCTCTCGTTCCACCAGTAGACTGGCGCTTTGGATCCCTTCGGTGGACTCTTTCTCTTGAAGGATCTATCTCCCGCTTTAACTATGGCAGAAATTAGTGTTTTTGGTGAGCTTTCGTAGTTTGCTTTTTTGTTTTTTTCCAACTCCTTTTTAAAATTTTGTGTGAATGTGCTCATCCTTTCTCTTTCCATTTTCCATCCACTAATCGTTTGTTTTCCGATAGTCGCTCTGCCCTTTTCGGTACGTTTTAATTTTTTTTCTGCCGAAATAAGTTCGAACATGATGCTGTTGTGGTCGCTGAAGTTTTCTTCGTCAACCTCCACTTTCCAATTTGTTATTAGGTTACTTTGTTTCGTCGAGCAGAGAGTGAGGTCTATGCGCGTCTTTCCTACTTTAAAGGTTGGTTCCTTGCCGTCATTAAGCACCACTAGGTCGTTTTCTGCCATCCAGTCGACGAGTAGGTCGCCCCTCTCGTCATTTTTCTGTGACCCCCATATGGTATTATGTGCGTTGAAATCGCCACCTATCACTGTACATCCTTTATTGTTCCCTTTTATGCTGGTTCCTAGTGCCTCCAAGCAGTCCGTAAAGTCTTTTATCTCGCAGTTTGGTGAAATATAAACCGAATAAATTACATTTTCCGCGTTTTTTATGTATGTAAACCCTTTTCCTTTTCCCCAGTTGTGCACTCTGAACGTTTTGTCTACTACCCTTATAAAAGTATCCTTATCTTTGTCGTGATAATCGTTCTTCTTTACTAATTTTTTATTTGGTTCTTGTCCTATTATTATTGAGACTTTCTTTTCTTTACTAGTTTTCTCCAGTATGTTTGTTGCCAATTGGCTTCTTTTTAGGTTTGTTTGTGTTACTCTCATAGCTTCTTATTGTGAATTCTCACTTATTCTTTTGTACCTAACTTTCCTTTCCGCCTGTCTATTCCGCAGTTCCTCCACTGCTTTTTTATATTTTTTACATTTCATGCTTCTTGCTGTATGTCCCTCCTCGTTACATACGTAACATTTCTGCGTATTTTCGCATGTTCTACTTTCATGGCCTTGTTCTCCGCATTTGAAGCAGATCCCCTTCCTCGTTATCTCGCTTTTGCACTCGGTAGCTTCGTGCCCGTATTCCTGACACTTGTAACACTTGAGGGGTGTTTCCAATGATTGTATTCGACACCTGCTCCACCCGATTTTTATTTTGGCTATTTCTTGTATTTTTTCGGCGTGATGGCTACTAATAGTTGCAATGGCATATGTTAAGCCTCTTTTGTTTCTTTTGTTTGCTATCTGGACTGTCACGGCATTTTCTCCTTCTATTTCTTCCTCTTTTATATCACAGCGGTCTCGGAGCACTTTCTTAATTTCTTCCTGCTCAATAGAACTGTCTATATCGCGGATCATGAAGGTTTTTTTTGGGTTTATCCACACTATATTTTCTTCGTTACTACTGATATGTTGTAGGATTTTTTCTTTAAAGACTTTTTCACCTTTACCTTCTTCTCTGTCTTCCATTTTGATTTTTATATTTCCATTTCGGGTTTTCTCTATGCTATTTACTTTTATACCGATTTCTTCTACGTCTATGTTTTTCTTTAGTTTTTTGAAAATATCGTCCGTATTTTCATTTTCGTTACCTTTTATTAGAAGTGTACTCTTTCTTTTCGTTTTTCTCCACGTTTTGTGTCCTATGACTCCGGTTTTTGTAATAATGTTTATTCTGATGTCTATTTCTCGGAAGACAATCTCTAGGATTTTCCTCAGTGGTATTTTTGTATCTTCGTTAGTTGGTGTACATTGAATGATCTTTGCTCCGTTACTAATTACACTCTTTTTATCACGCTTTTATTAGCTTGGGTTGTATGTATGTATGTAACGGAATCTTTGAGCTTAATTTTCATCGGTTTCTAAAAGTCTGATCATCTTGAAACTTTGCACACGTCTCAAGGATCGATGACAATGCAATAATTTGATAACAGTTTCCCATTATCCTTATTAGGACCGCCAGGATTTATAAATTCTTTTATGGATCCTGTGTAGTGGAGTAAAAGAGATAAAGCTAGCGCGCGATCTGCGCATGCCTGTAGTATCTGGTTTACTCTTCGTTGTAATAATTATAGTCTTGATTAAAATACAAATAACGGATATTAAATGAAAAAAACAAGAACGGACTTTTAATTAACTAAACGTGTGCAAATAAAATGGCTGATCGCATCTTAATTGTGTCAGTATATACCACGGTTATCTCTCTCCGTGTCGATTATACCGATCTATACCGATTATTTCTGTTTCAAGGACAATTTCTGCATAGCTTTGGTTTTACAGTCGGTAAAGAAGGAATTAATTATCATTAAAACATATCTAATCATGAATTCTCACCAACTTAAATAAAAATAACAAATTTTGATTCAGA